TAAGATAACTTACATTAAGTTTTTAGGTTTATTTTACTCTACAAAATTTAATAGTTTTACATGTGTATAAGATGTTAGGGATATATGCTGCTTTAAAAAGATTGGGCAGGGACTTCCCTGGCAGTCCAGGGGTTAACACTCTGCGCTTCCAGTGAAAGGGGCGTGGGTTCAATCCCTGGTCGGGGAGCTAAGATTTCATGTGCCATGCGGCCAAAAAAAAAAAAAAAAAAAAAAAAGATTGGGCATATTGAACTTTTAATGAAATTTTGATCACTTTTTGTTTAAGGGCATCCAATCCAGAAATCCAGGATTTCATGAGGGACAAAGGCTTTGGCAGAAATTTTAAGAAACTAGAATCTTTCTATATGCAAGCGTAAGTTACTTTAAAGCCTACTTCTGTTTTTATTTCATCAATGCCTTTTGTAAAAGCTTAAGCTGTTATTTAGTACTACTTTATTTTTCATTTTCTCTCCACTCCTTGCCCAAGTATAGATGTTATATTCTTTGTTACACAAAGTATAGATGAAAAATCATAAAGGAGGGAGCAATAGCCACTATTTTCTTTAAAGCAATAACATGGTGACTCTGATCCTTTTGCAGTAACTGTTGAAACACAGGATAACAGTCATCTATTCTAAGAACTCAGCTCAGAGCCCTGGCTGCCCTGCGAAGTCTTCATCACCATCCATCCCCTGGAATTCAGTCCCTTTTGTCAACGCCGGAGCATTTCTTTTACTTTATATCTGTGCTGTCTCGTGTGGTAGCCACAGCCACATGTGGCTGTTTGTATTTAAATTAGAATTGAAGAAAATTAAAAATTCAGTTCCTCAGTCACATTAGCCACATTTCAGGTGTTCAAAAGCTAGAGGAGGCTAGTGGCTACCATACTGGAAAGTGCATATATAGAACATTTCCATCACTGCATCAAGTTCTAGTAGACAGTGCTGCTCTATGCTAGGGAGCAGTAAACTTGTTCTCTGAAGGGCCAGACAATAAATATGAGAGATTTCGTGGGGCACATATGGTTGCATACTTTTTATTTTGCATACTCTTATTTTTTAAACAATGCTTTACAAGTGTAAAAATGATTCTCAGCTCAAGAGCCATACAAAAATAGGCTGCAGGCTATAGCTTGCCAACTCCTGCATTGAGCAAGCCCAGATTCTAGCCTTTTCCCGTTCAGCTTTTTGTGTGATACAGTCTTTTTTTTTTATCCTGCAGAGCACCTGCCATTGTCTGAACATCAGGAAATATTTGTGAATTGATTGTCAACACTGTTGGAAAGTTATTTAGGTGATGTCACAGGCTAGTTTCTAGTTTCTTTTATTCTAAGATACCCATGAAATTACAAAGACTGCTATCTATACACTTCCCTAGGAGTTGTCCCATCTTCCTTTCTTTGGGGTATGCTTAGCTCATTCATTCTGCAATTGACTGTTGAACCCCTCTGCTGTGTCAGGTTCTGAACCACGTGCTAGAAAGAAGGAACCACATGGGTCGCCACCCAGCTTTAGCTAGTTCTGCTGTAAAGCTGTGCTATACTGAGAGGCACCTCTCAGTGTTGGGAGTTCTTGGGATAAAAATGTGCATTCTTTACACATATTGGTAAGCTTGTGATCTGAAATAACTAATTTTTTCAATGGTAGGGTTTTGGACATGATTTCAGCCATAAACAAGAGCTCCATAGTCTGGCAAGAAGTTTTTGATGATGCAAGCAAGGTGAGAAGTATTAAGACTGCATTTGGTTTTGATAATATGAGAGACTTCATACTTTAATACTTCCTTGGATGGAAGGAACCCTAATGAAGCTTCCCTGTAATGCTGGGGAAATGAGTTTACCTTTCCATTTGAGCTGTAACACTGAGACCAGTGATAATGGTATTGATCTGATTTCTTCCATTTACTTCACTCTTCAGTGCCGCCACCTCCTCGTCTCCCCCATCTCCCCTCCTCCCCCGCCATCTCATTTTTAATCACAAATTGAAGTACTCTGAAGACTGTTCCTTTTTTCAGAAGGGCAGAACAAACATAAGTCTTTACTGCTGTTAAGAGAGTTTTAAGTAAAATTGTCAATGTACACTTTTTATTTTAAATGGCATTTCTCTCTGACATACTCAGAATTCTTTATTTTCCTTTGGGGGCAACTGAGAATTTGCAAGTCCAGCTACTAGTATGATCTTTGCAGAAGGGTTGGTGGCATCCTCAGAGTTCCAAAGTAAGTACAATAGTGTGGTAGAAATGGGATGAAAACCTTTAATTCATTACACCTATATGGTACCATATGTAGACAAAGGTTAAATATCCAACCTTAAGGTTGATGAAACTTCTAAGTCCCTACAACAAATAGCAATTCTAAGGAGAAAGGGAAAAAAGGAAATGCTGCTTTTTTCAAGGATCTTTCTTAGCTACAATGCCTTGGACTTTTAATTTCATCTACTGTAGTTGCGAGACCTAATAATATATATTGTGATTTGTGACTTTAATAGCTCATGCCAGGCACAGTAATTCAAGTGTGGAAAGTGGAGGACTATACTCGGGAACAAAGTAAAGTTACAGAAGCTGGCTTCCCTGTGATCCTTTCTGCTCCTTGGTACTTAGACTGGATCAGTTATGGACAAGACTGGAAAAAATACTATGCCGTGGACCCTCTTAGTTTTGAGGGTAAGTGAAGCAACCATCATTACTTGATTTGTTAGGTTTTTTCCCTACCCTCTCTCCAGGGAATCCTTACCTAGGTAGCATCTTCCTCCCTTTTATGTCTGACCCTTGATTTTGTTTGTGTGTACTTAAACAGACCAACTACAATATCATTTTAACTGTGAAAGAAACCACATTCTTCCCTAAATGAAAGAACTTCAAAAGTAGATTCCCTTAGATTTTTCTCTCCATTTTCACTGATAAGACTTGTTATTACTATGCATTTAAAGATGCCTGACTGCATTAACCTTGTATCTCCTACTCTGAGCTGCCTCTCCAATGCAAGACACCTAAGCAGGGATCCCGTCCTGTTCAGTGGCTTCCAGGGTTCTGAGGAGGAGGCATCCTTGGGGGTGGGCATGTCTGAGTGGTGGGGCTCCAGACTCTCAAACCCCCTTCATTAAGAACAGTTCTACTTTGTCCATTTTTGTACACCAGACTTTAATATAAAATTTCCTTTGAGGAAAAGTATTCTGCTATTTTTTTTTTTTTTAAACGTGAACATTTATTTCCACTCCCTTTCTTGTCTGTTGCTTCCTTTTTTTTTTTTTAATTTATTTTTTGCTGTGTTGGGTTTTCGTTTCTGTGCGAGGGCTCTCTAATTGTGGCAAGCAGGGGCCACTCTTCATTGGGGTGCGCGGGCCTCACTATCGCGGCCTCTCGTTGCGGAGCATGGGCTCCAGATGCGCAGGCTCAGTAATAGTGGCTAACGGGGCCTAGTTGCTCCGTGGCATGTGGGATCTTCCCAGACCAGGGCTCGAACCCGTATCCCCTGCATTGGCAGGCAGATTCTCTACCACTGCGCCACCAGGGAAGCCCTGCTGTTTAAAAGTGTTTCAAAACTGTAGGTCTATTATTGACATAACTGTTTCTCTAAAAATCTCTAAAAAGCATTTTCTGAGAATCAAAAAGTCATAATTACTATAGCTAGTCTCTTTAATAAAACGGTATCTTTACTACCAGACTGCCACATTAGTTAACATAAGCTAACAAATACTATGTGAACCATGGGGTCAGCCATGGCAATAAAGTTGGCCACTTTTGTGCCACAGCCATGAACATCTCCCAAGGTCCTGCTTAACAGGAGAGAAATGTTGCCCTAAGATAACAATAGAAATCAGCATTGCCTCTGTATATAGGCCTCAAGTTGCAACTACCTAACTTACATCAATGATTTTAATCTAGGTTCTCAGGAACAGAAAAAGCTTGTCATTGGTGGAGAAGCTTGTCTATGGGGAGAGTATGTGGATGCAACTAACCTTACTCCAAGATTATGGTATGGAATTTAAGTGATAACATTTGAATTAAGGTGCCTGAGTTTTCCTTCTGTACCCAAGTAGGAAACCACTAGGAACTTCCCCAAGCATGTGGTTTGCTTATTTAAGAAAATAGAAAAGTACATTGGGTCACATGTGGTTTAAATTTTAGGCCTCGGGCAAGTGCTGTTGGTGAGAGACTCTGGAGTCACAAAGACGTCAGAGGCCTAGAGGATGCCTACAGGAGACTAACAGTTCACCGCTGCAGAATGCTCAGGTAAGACAGATTTATTTTTCAAAACTGTATGTCACCTAAGAGGCTGTGATTTAATTAGGAGGAATTGGGAACTATTTCCAGTACCTATAAGGAGAAGATATGCTTGGACTGTTATATAGATATATTAAATTTTGCTGTAACTTAGAACTCCATTATGAATCTTTTTTCAATAATTAGTGGTATGGTTTAGTGATTCTGATTTATTAATAAGTTCCTTAAGATGGAGATGAGTTATATCAATCTAAAACATCTTTTGTTTGTACTTTACCTGTCGTACAGACGAGGAATAGCTGCAGAACCTGTCTTTACTGGATATTGTGACCACGAGGACAGAATGTAAAAATGAGCTGAAACGAAAAAATAGGGGGAAATGCCCACAATCATCTGTACCACGATCAGCTTGATTTTAAAAATCATGTTTTTGAATAAAATCTTTCTATTGATTAAATCTTTTTATTGGTTGAACCTCCATCTTATTATACGTTATACATAGTTCCTGTGAGCACAGCTTAAAATCAGCCAACCCAAAACCTCGTGATACCTATCACTCAGTATATTCCAAAAGACTGAATCTTGACTACCGACAGTAAAAACTTCCTAGATACACAATACAATTCAGGTACATTAACCTTCAACATCAAAGCACGTTTCTCATTCTGTAAAATAGAATGGGCAGCACCAAGTGCCACTGTCTGTTTCAAGTTCTACCTTTTCAGTCGTTCTTACGGAAAATGAAGTAGGTAGGTACTCCTGAGTTTCTCTCCAAGGACTCAGGACAAGCCACTTCTCTGGCTCAGCAGTGTACTTTGGTCTTGAGGATTCATGGCTTGATAATTAGACAGCTCTAAGGCAAAGGTAGCTGAGCCTGATGTTAACGTTCGAAGCACAGTTGAATAACCCTAATTAAAATAATTTTAAGTCAGTTATTTCTGCAAAGTTAAGCCTCAAGTCTCTTCCTGCAGAACCTTTGACCATTATCAGGAAAAATTTGGTAAGTATTGTGGATGACAAAACCAGTAGTGTGGGTATGCTTCAGAAGTATTCCTTGGTCCCAAATGGTAAAAAAAGACTCTGCTGGCACTCAGGTGCCTGTCCTAGCAGGAGAGGCTGGTGGGGAGAAGGAAGCTTGCCTCAAAGCCGGCAACAGAAGTAAGATAAGTGCTTGGGATGGAAAAATGGTCATTTAGGCTGGTGACACATTTTGGTACAGCACACCTCAACCTCTGTAGAAGCATGGAAAGGGACACCCCCCACCCCATGCTGCCATAATCCCCTGGATTTCTCCAGCAATTTACGTAAAGTATGTACATTTAGTCACAAAGTACCTACCATAATTTCTGCTAAGGGAACAAATCCAATAACAACTTTGTTATCCTGACGAGTCTGGATTTCCTGAATGTTCCCTCTTCTTTGTGCTAGATCTGCTAGGACAGGACTGAGGTAATCTCTAGTCACTGTAACCTCAAGATTCATCAGGGGCTCCAAAATTTGCTTATCAGCTTTCTTCAGAGCCTAAAGAAATGAAAGAATATAACTCCTCTTCCTTAAACTGCAGATCAAATTTCTGTTATGAAGGGAAGACTCATAAATACTGTTCATACTCTTAGCCTAGAGCCTCTAGCAAAAAGACATAAGCCTGCTTTAACACTCTATAAGAAGTCCAAAATTTCAATATTTGCTTGTACATGCATCACAGATGACAGTAGCATGTCTGACACCTCTTGTACGGTGTGTTGCAAGGGAATGCTTGGCAAAGTCTCATTATGTAGAGTACCTGTGAACATGTGCCCAGAGACAGAGGGAAACAAAATGGTTTTCCCCCTTCAAAGACTTATTTCTTCATATTTAAACCTCTTCTTTTGTTTTTGATACCTATAGTTATAGTCCATGCTATAAGTCAGGGCAAGCAGGAGGGAAATAAAGGAGAGCTAAAAACACAGTAAGTTAGTAGAAACACATTCTCTATGTGAAACAGACTGAAATCTAAAATTCTGAACAGATAACAAAGGCCAAGAAAGAGCATGGAAACTAAAAAGCTAAAACAGCATAGGGCAAATAGGAAGTGGACGAAAGCAGAGGTATAAAGACTTACTGAGGTCCTAGTCAGATGCTGTCTTTAGAGCATTACATCAGGCCAATTGGTAAACGGACTTTGGAGGGCGTTTGCGAGCACCATAACTACTGATGGGTTTGATTTTAAAAGCTAACTTACTTCTCCAGCCTGCCAGAGTTAAAAAAATAACAATTTCCTATAAATTCTAAGCCTCTGTTTGGTCTTTATTACAACTTACTCAGTTGTAATAAACTTAGACTTAGCAGCAGAAACCAGATAAAAGAGCTAGGGCTCTGGAATGTACCCCTCACCTCTCTCTGCTCACCTGCCACCACTCACTTAGGACCAGGCAGTATCTTCGCCTATATTGTCCAGTAATGCTCTTCTGTCCCTGATACCTCACCACCTCCTCCCTCCCCCCACCCCCACCCCCTACTTTCACGATCATGAAAATTGGCCAGCAGTATATTCTCTTTATCAAAAAACATAGCACACATATATAGTAAAAACATAATCTCAGTTCTTCACAGCAGATTAAGCCTTTAAAATCACTATCAACCAAAACAACTCAACTATAGAAAAAGTAATAGTCCTTGAATGAAAACATTACTAAAAAATAATGACAGTCAACAGCAAACAACTAAATATATCCTCTGTATTTTTGCAATTCTTACCAAGAGCTTTGTGCCACTTCACACAATGTCTTTTAGAACAACATAACGGAGTGGGAAAAGGTTAAAAATTAAAGAGAAAAAATGCTACAACTAAGGAAAGGACTGAGTTCTATGTAACTGGAAGTACTGTGCTTGTGGGTCTGTCCTTAGTCCTCTTTTCTTTTCACAGCCTTTTCCTTGGCAACACTGCCTAGTTACAGAGCATCAAGAACAGCTTCCTCGTAGCTTCCTCAAAAATTCTGAACTTTATCCAAGCCACGGTCTCTGAGTGCTCCAGCCTTGTACTCCACTGGTCTGCTCTGGGATAGTGTCTAAATATCTTATAACAACCCAATATGCCCCAAACGGAACTCATCATTTTCTTTTCCAAACACTCCTGTCTGCTTTTTCCTCTTTCTGTTCTCTTCAGTTCACCAGGACATGCACCTTTGATTTCCCTTTTTCCACAAGTAAGCTGTAAGATTTCCACTCCTGTTGCTGGTATCCTGGTTCAGACCTAGTCCATTCCCTGCCCTAGACTCTTTTCCCTACTCCAGTCCCTTCTGTACTCTAATGGTTATACTGCTCTCTTCAAAAACTTTAAATTATTCACCACTGTTCTCAAAACAAATCTCAAACTTCTAGATGTAGTTTTTAAAGGTTTCTCTAAAGCCTGGCCCTGCCTTCTTTAATCTCCCCTTGTCTGGAATGCTGCCCACTGTGCCCAAATCTTCCAAAACATCACAGCTCAACAATGAATGAAAGCACGTACAAGCCCCTGTTGTGTTTTGAAATAAAATGCTGACTCAAGAGTTAATGATTGGGAAATGTGAAGGTGCAGAAACAAAGAACAGCTGTTGGGCTAGGGAACTGGTAACAATTTAGACTATAATGCTGCCACATGGCAGAATCACCGAACTCTCAGTTCCCTGAAAGGTATAAAGGCCTGACACACATTCCTAAGTTGTTTGTACAGGAAGCAGACCCCTGCCAGAGGAAAACTGCTGACCACAAGCACATAGACCCTAGACTGGTTGAAACCAGAAGGCTGACTGATGATGCTTGAAACTTCACCTTGATGCCAACCAATCCCAGAACTGTCCACGAGCTGATCACACCCTGCTCCTTGGACACTAAAAAACTCCTCATAACCCCTCCAGGGTGGATCACACAGTCTTGAGGGCGTTAGCCCTCTGTGGCCCCCGTTGCCTGGCAAAGCAATAAAAGCTACTCTTCTGCTTCACCCAAAACCCTGTCTCCGCGTTTCTGTTCGGCACCAGTGAAGAGGCTGAGTTTCGGCAACATAAACTTCTTTCCAAGAACCCTGCCCCAATTCCCCACGTCTCAGCTTTCATGGATCTCAGTCCATTCTATCTAATATTCTGGCTATTTGGCTATTTATTTCCCTTCTAAATCATAAGCTCCTTTAGGTCAAGAAAAATGTATGCATCCTATTTGTGGCCCTCTCAGTGCCCAGTGCACTATAAGCACACCACCAGTGGCTCGATAAATATATGAAGCGTCATTAACTTCTCATAACAGAGAGAAGGAGCTTCCCCGCTAGATGAAGTTTAACAAGGGCCACAGTATTTCCATTAGTAGTATTTAAAGTAACGAATTAAAAGATTAAGTGTAAGCTCCATAAAGTTAATTCTTGTTCCCTACTATGATCTTAATAAAAAGGCTAACCAAGGCATATTAGATTTTGAAGGACTGGCCCATATACTGGGGCTTGGGGTTAATTTAGAAACGTATCATCTTTCAGGTTACCTTTATTTCAAAACTAAAACCAATGTCAGGAAAAACTAAGAATTACTGGAAGGTAAATGTTCTCAATTTAATCATGACCACTTTACAGGTAATATTTCTAACTATATGCTTAGGCAAACAATAAACAATTTTATTTTTGAAAGTGTAGTGTTTTTTCTTTTTAATCAAAAACTTTTTTGTTTTCAAAAACTTTTTAAGAAGTATGAATTTGAAGTCAGGGGCTTAGGGTATTTAACTTTATAATTATGGATTCAAATAAGACTAGAAAATCAGGTCTCAACTACAGTCCAAAACATTAGAAAATGATTATAAAGGCAAGCGTTTTAATGCAAAATCAGTCACCAACAAAACTATAGTATTCCCATACTGAGAAGAATGCATGGAATCAGCATTCAGCACACTAAGGCCCTGGAGGTTAATCCAGCTCTGGTAGATTACTGGGGCAAGACACTCAAGGTAAACACAGAAGGCCAGACTGCTTTATGCTCTGAGAAGGAATAATGCTTATTTGATCTGTTATTCAACAGGACTTATCTGATTTCAATGATCCTTGATTAATCTTATTAGAACAAACATGAACTCCAACATTGGAACCAATATTAGACCTTCAATGTCCTTTAGATTATAATCCATTTCGGGCCAAGCTGACCCCAGATATGTCTTTTACTCAAATCTACCAAGCTTTCCTCTTATGGCTGTGTATCTGGGATGGGGAAAGCAGAGACACCACTTAAAAAAACTTGCCTCTTTTCCAAAATCAGGATATTTAATAACTATCTGTGTCAAACAGTAATTTCTTAGATCCTCTTTTGAATAAAACCCTGATGATTGAGAAATCAATGATTCTCCATGGTAAAAACTCTTGACTATAAGGCTCAGGATACAAAGACACAAGGTCAGGCACTGCGAGCACAGCTGTCTGTGGACTAGTGGTTCACTACTGTCCAGAGTCACCTTAAAGCAAAAAGGATTAGGGCACTTCTATACCTTTTGTAGGCATCTTGAGACACAGGCAGAAATCATAGCTGTGGAGGTACCGGGATGAATTACCAATGAATGTAAAGTAATTGCTACATCTTGAATTGGGGATCCAAGCAATGGTCCTAGGTAAGGGGGAAAAGATTTTATTAGGACTCAGTATACAGTGAGGGGTAAATGAAATGTTTAAAGAGATAGGCAGAGAACTACTAGTTTCCAGTTCTGCATGCAAAGGAGCTTTGAAGGGCAAAGCTCTGTCCCCAAGACTGGAGAGACAGGTGAGTGCAGGCAGTCACACCTGAACTGTAATTGATGAACTGCTTGAGGCTCAGTGTGGCCAAGTCAGAGTTAAAAACTCCAGGGGGGCCCAGTCTTGGGGATGGAGAGGGGCATAATTTTGTGAGTTCAAGCAGGTTCTCACAGTAAATATCAGAGATTTAGGGGGAGGGGAAAAGAATCCATTCTGAAATACTCCAAGGCACTCTATTCTTAACAAGGCCTGCCCTCAGGGGAAACTAGTTAATTAGAGCAAAACCTGCAAGGATATTATCAGAGACTAACTGACTTGAGGGAAGTACCCAATTCCAGTCTACTCTAGCCATTCTGTCCCACCTAAGGGGTGTGAAAAAAACTGAGAAACACTTGTGCAGCTCCGAGTCCAAAGGCACAGGTTGACTAGAAGACTGAGACCTAATCCTGGGACTACAGATGCTTCCCCTCCCCTTTACCTCACCACCACATTACTAAAGGCCAGTTTATAGCAGTCCCTTACCCAGTACATCACTTCTGGCTATCAAGAAAAAATTATGGGATGAATTGGGAGATGGGATTGACAGAATCCATTCTGAAATACTCCAAGGCACTCTATTCTTAACAAGGCCTGCCCTCAGGGGAAACTAGTTAATTAGAGCAAAACCTGCAAGGATATTATCAGAGACTAACTGACTTGAGGGAAGTACCCAATTCCAGTCTACTCTAGCCATTCTGTCCCACCTAAGGGGTGTGAAAAAAACTGAGAAACACTTGTGCAGCTCCGAGTCCAAAGGCACAGGTTGACTAGAAGACTGAGACCTAATCCTGGGACTACAGATGCTTCCCCTCCCCTTTACCTCACCACCACATTACTAAAGGCCAGTTTATAGCAGTCCCTTACCCAGTACATCACTTCTGGCTATCAAGAAAAAATTATGGGATGAATTGGGAGATTGGGATTGACATATATGCACTAATATGTATAAAATAGATAACTAATAAGAACCTGCTATATAAAAAAATAAAAGAAAAAAGGAAAAACTTATAAGGCATATTGAAAGGCAAGAAGCACAATGTGAATCTGAATACAGAGAGCAAGCATCAGAACCAGATGTGGCAGGGACATTGAATGGTCAGACTGAGAATATAAACAACTATGACTAATATGCTAAGGGCTTAAATAGGTAAAGGGCATGCAAGAACAGATGGGCATGACAGCAGAGAGACAGAAGTCCTAAGAGAACGAAAAAGAAATGCTTCAGATGAAAAACACTAACAGAAAGGAAGAAGCCCACTGATGATCTTAGATGGGACACAGCTGAGGAAATAGTCTGAGTTAGAAAATATATCAGTAGAAACCTCCAAAACTAAAAAGCAAAGTGAACAAAAGACTGAAAAAAAAAAAAAAACAATATCCAAGGCTGTGGGACAACTATAAAGGTATGACATGTGTGATGGGAAGAGATAGGGAGGAAACACCATCAAAGTTAGAAGAGAAGAATGAAGCAATTTCTAATATTAGGAGGGATTAAATCGTTGAGTGTGATACTAATGCGTACTCTGACTGGTACCTTACCTTGGAGGCACGCATTGTGAAGGCCATTTTCAATGGCCTCTCGTGAGGCCTGAGGAAGGTCTTCGGCAACACTTGCTGCATACTCAATGACTGGCAGAAGAGATGATGTTTCCAGTGATTTTGCTTCCAGTTCTACAGTCACAAGATGCCGTCTGTCTCCTAAAGTTCTATCTAAGGTATCTGTAAACAAATCGAATATAGCACCTCAGAGATTTGTTCCAGAAAGATGTCAAGGTACCACAACTGGCAAAATTACAATCGGCAAGTTCAAGGTCTCATGGAAGGTAAAGCGGAAGAAAATATCGACAATGACACTAAATACAGCATAAAAATATCAGAGTAAACAGTTCTACCAAGAAAGAATCTGCTGGGACTTTCCTGGTTGTCCAGTGGTTAAGAATCCACCTTCCAATGCAGGGGATGCGTGTTCGATCCTTGGTCAGGGAACTAAGATCCCACATGCGTTGGGGCAACTAAACCCAAGCCCATGTGCTGCAACTACAGAGCCCACGCACTCTGGAGCCCGCATGCCACAACAAAATATCCCGGCGTGCCGCAACTAAGACCAGATGCAGCAAAAAATAAATTAATTAAAAAAAAAAAAGAAAGCATCTGCTTCTGTGTTTACCAACATTAAAAACCTGCTCTGGGGCTTCCCTGGTGGCACAGTGGTTGAGAGTCTGCCTGCCGATGCAGGAGACATGGGTTCGTGTCCCGGTCCAGGAGGATCCCACATGCCACACTTCTAGCATATGTTTTCCCTGGTAATCTGTCCTTAGCCATGACTCCAATCAAGGGCAAACAAATCCAGACAAAAAGTCAAGTCAGGAAAAAAAAAAAAAAAAAAAAAAAAAAGCCTGCTCTGAATCACCTATTAATATTGCTTTAGGACTTCCCTGGTGGTGCAGTGGTTAAAAATCCGCCTGCCCACATATATACAATGGAATATTACTCAGCCATAAAAAGAAACGAAATTGAGTTATTTGTAGTGAGGTGGATGGACCTAGAGACAGTCATACAGAGTGAAGTCAGAAAGAGAAAAACAAATACTGTATGCTAACACATATATATGGAATCTAAAAAAAATAAAATGGTTCTGAAGAACCTAGGGGCAGGAGAGGAATAAAGACGCAGATATAGAGAATGGACTTGAGGACACGGGAAGGGGGAAGGGTAAGGTGGGACAAAGGGAGCCAGTAGCACTGACATATATGCACTACCAAATGTAAAACAGATAGCTAGTAGGAAGCAGCCGCATAGCACAGGGAGATTAGCTCAGTGCTTTGTGACCACCTAGAGGGGTGGGATAGGGAGAGTGGGAGGGAGATGCAAGAGGGAGAAGATATGGGGATATATGTATATATATAGCTGATTCACTTTGTTTTAAAGCAGAAACTAACATGCCATTGTAAAGCAATTATACTCCAATAAAGATGTTAAAAAAAAAAAAAGAATCCACCTGCCAACACAGGGGACACGGGTTCGATTCATAGTCTGGGAAGATCCCACATGCCATGGAGCACTAAGCCTGTGTGCCACAACTACTGAGCCTGTGCTCTAGAGCCCGTGAGCCATAACTACTGAGCCCATGCTCCACAACTACTGAAGCCCTTGCATTCTAGGGCCCATGTGCCTCAACTACTGAGCCCACGTGCTGCAACTACTGAAGCCTGCATGCCTAGAGCCCGTGTTCCACAACAAGAGAAGCCACTGCAATGAGAAGCCTGTGCACCACAACGAAGAGTAGCCCCTGCTCGCCACAACTAGAGAAAGCCCGCGTGCAGCAATGAAGACCTAGCACAGCCAAAAAATTTTTAAAAAAAACCAAAAATTACTTCAGTGTTTGGGTGTGTTGAGGCAGGTGATCGCACAAATTTTGTTATGCAGATTACACTTTTAAACATTTCTTATGTGACTGATATTCTTCTAAATACAAAATTTTTATTTAAAACAGAGTACAAACGGTTATCTAATGAAAATTAAAAGGCTTCACCCTGCCAACCAACAAACTTAAATTTCATACACTCTTCCAGCAATATTTTATGTATTGGGTTTGGCCAAAAAATTCGTTTGGGTTTTTCCATAAGCTGGTACAGAAAAAGCCAACGAACTTTTTTTTTTTTTTTTAATATTTATTTGGTTGCACTGGGTCTTAGTTGTCGCAGGCAATCTCCTTAGCTGCGGCTCACCGGCTCCTTAGTTGTGGCATGCAAACTCTTAGTTGTGGCATGCACGTGGGATCTAGCTCCCTGACCAGGGATCAAACCTGGGTCCCCTGCATTGGGAGTACAGAGTCTTATCCACTTGCACCACCAGGGAAGTTCCCCGAATGAACTTTTTGGCCAGCCCAACATTTAATGTTTATGATTCTTCCCCCAAAACTAGTGATCTATTTGTAAAAATGAAAATAGACTCCGTCATTAGCTAACAACCAATAGCTGTCAGTGAAACCGAGTGGGACCTTGTGGGGCTCCGAGGCATGGAGGCCCTTTTGTCCCCCATTTCTTGAAGGCAAGACTCCAGCCTCCATGACCTTCCCTGAGTTCCAAAGGGCAGATTCGAACAGTTGCTAATCAAGGGAGGAAGCAGCCAAGAAACCACCTGAGGCAAGATTAAAGGGACCAGAGAAGCTCCTCAAGATTAGGAGACCACCTGAGATAAGATGAAGGGAGTGAACGCCCTGTGTACACCCTGATGTTGTCAGAGACCCCACCTTTGAACCACTGTTATAAAACCCTCATCAAATCCTCCCAGGTTGGGACACATAGTTTTTCGAGGCAGGAGCCTGCTGTGTCCCCCTTTGCCTGGCAAAGTAATAAGGCTATCCTTTTCTACTTCACCCAAAACTGTCTCTGAGATTTGATTTGGCCCCAGTATACAGAGAAGTTGAGCTTTCGGCAACATCACCAATCTCCAAGATTTTACTAAGACAAAACTATGCTGTATTTATGTGAGTGACCATGGAACACAGTGACTCATGGCCCAAATTCAAAACTAATTATGCTCTATAATTCCTCTTCATAATTCCTTTTATATTATGAAATATAAAACTAACTTTATATTATGAAATATTTTATACTTAAAAATACATGCATTACCTAAAACCAAAATGAACATTCATAACCTAAAACCAAAATGAACATTCATGAAACCTAATACTACTAAAGAAACAGAACATTACCAGTAACCTAGAAGCCTTCTGAAGAAACAACCACTATCATGATGTTGTATTTAAACATTCATATGATTTTCTTTAGAGTTGTATCACAGATGCAGGTATCCCTAAACAATATAGTTTACTTCTGCTTTGTTTTGAATATGTTATTATACTGCATGTATTGAGCAACTTGCTTTTTTCTGCTTCACATTTGTGGGTCATCTGGGCTGACACCTGGTGATGTAGTCCATTCTTTTTCACTGTTATGTAGTATTCTGTTATATGAACAGAGTACAATTTATCCACTATGTCCACAAATATTTGGATTTTTTTCACCTAAAGTTTTATTACAATGTTATTATGAAGGTTCTTGTATCTGTCTCTCAATGTACATGTGTTAAGATTTTCTCTAGGGCATATACCTACTAGTGGAACTGCTGAGTAGTAATGTCTGCACATAGTCAACTTCATAAGAAAGTTGCCAAACTGTTTTCATAGTGGTTATATAATTTACACTCCCACCAGAAGTTTCTGTAAAACTTTCCATAAAACATCTCACCAACACTTGGCATTGTCAGATTTGCATTCTTGCCAATTTTGTTGGTATAAAATGCCATCTTGTCCTTTTAACTTGCATGATCCTAATCATTACTGAGACCGAGAATCTTTTATGTTCACGGGCCTTTGGGATATCCTCTTTTGTGAAATGTCTGTTCAATCTTTTTTGCTCACTTTTCTACTTGGTTGGTTGTCATGTTTTTAATGATCTTTTGAAGTTCTTTATATATATTCTGGATACTAATCTGTCAGTTTTATATGAGGCAAATATCTTCTCTCAGCTTTTGGCTTGTCTTTTTGTTTTCTTTATAGTGTATTTGAATAAATTCTTAATTTCAATAATATCAACTTTAGTAATCTTTTAGTTCATAGTCTCAACCTTATCTGGTTAGTAAAACAATTCTATATTGTCTTCCAAAAATTCGAAGGTTTCCCTTTCATAAAGTTTTGGGGTTTTCTTTCTTTTTTTTCTTTTTTGCATATATTAGCATTTATTCTCTTTATTCTTTTGTGCTCAGAGGGAGATTTCCAACTCTTCTTTCATATTCAGGCTTTTAAATTCACCTGGAATTGACTTTTGTATACAGTATGAGGTAGGAATCTAAATCTTTTTCCATATGAATAATTATCCCAGGCCCCTTTATTGAATATCAGTCCAGCCTTTCTCACTGAGCTGCAATATCACTGATGTAAATCCAATTTCCACATAGATATGAGTCTGTTTCTAGGCTTTCTGGTTTGTTCCACTGGTATATTTGTCTATTCTTAGCTTGATTTGTGTCATAATGACTATGGCTTTATAATAAGTATTAATGTCTGATACAGTTCTTTGGGTAGAACTGGTATGTTCATGATATTTAGTCTTCTTTTCTATGAATAGTACGGTTTCCCATTTAACTTAGGTCTTCTTTAATGTCTGTACATTTTGATAATTTTCTAGATGTACACAAATGTAATCTGCTCCTGATCACTGACGTGATCATTAGCGATCTGACTGTCCAGTCAGGATGTGGTCTGATTGCTGCAGCATCTGGTTACTAGTTTTCACCTTGTAACTAATAAGCAATCTACAGCGAGACACTTGAAGACCATGCAAATATGCTGCTTAACAATGTACTCAATATTAAGCATTCACCATATTACAAGATGACGATCTCTTATTCCAGCCCTCCTCCTCAACATCTAACAGTCAGCATTTGGCACTTCAGTATAAGGAAGAAGAGTCTCATCTATCATCCGTATGGACTCATGAGTTCCAACTTTTTCTCAGTGGTCTATGATTATTGTTTGTAATTACTTTGGAGTTCAAATTAACCCAGATTTAGCCAGCGGAGCCTCTTCGGGTTGGTTCGTGTGTCCTTATGACACATCCCCATTATTTTTTTGAGCATTTCCTTTCTTTCTCAGATAACATGATGTTCTGTTGCTTGCTTATTTTTGATAGTCTCCTATTTCTTACTAATACTTTCTATCCCCTTTCTTATTTCTTCAAAAATAATACTTATTTTATACTCAGCATACGATAATTCTAGTATTGGAAGCCTTTGCTGGTCTGTCTGTGATGTTTATTGTTTCTGCTGCCTTTTTTGCTCCTTGTGCCTTTGCTCAAGGTTTTATGATTAAAAATAAATAAATAAATAAATAAATAAATAATTTTTTTTTTTTGGCGGGGAGGCTTCCCAGGTGGCAGTGAGGGTAAGAATCTGCTTGCCAATGCAGGGGACATGGGTTCAAGCCCTGGTCAGGGAAGATCCCACATGCCGCGGAGCAACTAAGCCCGTGTGCCACAACTACTGAGCCCTCAAGCCACAACTACTGAAGCTCATGCACCTAGAGCCCATGCTCCGCAACAAAGAGAAGCCACAGCAATGAGAAGCCTGCGCACCGCAACCAAGAGTAGCCCCCACTCGCTGCAACTAGAGAAAGCCCACGCACAGCAAGGAAGACCCAACAGAGCTAATAAATAAATAAATAGATGGGTGAATTTATTAAAAAAATTTTTTAAATTGTGAGTTCATATTCCTTTGTGGGATTTTCTTTGAGGCCTGGATTGAGGATACATTTATCTAAAGAGGCTCTACATTTGTTTTCTCCAGGTTCCTTGGTATATTACCAATCCATAAGCACTTTACACTAAATTCTTCTCTGTTTGGAGTTTTTCAGGTCACACTGGTTCTATGAATTTAGGCTGAAAATGCTATCAGAAGCCTACAGTTACAAATTCTCAGAAATTTTGCCCCTTTGCCCCACCGTCAGTCAGACAAGTTTCCTTGTCCTCTTCTTTTATGGAGATTTTCCTCATTACTTCCATGAGGATGTGGCCCTCAAGTTCTAGGTTAGACATTACCACAGATTTCTCCAAGATAGCTAGTGGCTTAGGTGCTGGCTTATTTTCCAAGATTCCTGCTCCAGTTTCCTTTTTGGCCTCTAGAAATTTCCATTACATTCTAACCATCTCAGACATTAATTTAAAAGATGTTATTTAGGGCTTCCCTGGTGGCGCAGTGGTTGAGAGTCTGCCTGCTGATGCAGGGGACATGGGTTCGTGCTCCGGTCCGGGAAGATCCCACATGCCGCGGAGCGGCTGGGCCGCTGAGCCTGCGTGTCCGGAGCCTGTGCTCCGCGACGGGAGAGGCCACAACAGTGATAGGCCCACGTACCACAAAAAAAAAAAAAAAAAAAAAAGATGTTATTTATATTTTCCCAGAATTTTTGGCTTTTCCAGATATAAAGTCCAGAAAGAGAAATCATCATGTCATTTGCCCCTATGTCCTGCTTGTTTAATTTTTCAAGTTTCAGTGAAAAATAACCACCTGGCCTTTTTACAAATCGCTGAGTTGCTTAAAAGTTCCTAGTTATCCTAAACATATCTTTTCTATATTTTTTCACAAACCTGCCCATGTTTTCTCCTTGGCGGGGGGGACAGGAATGATTATCATGTTCTTTTGTTTAAGGGAACCAAACTGAAATTATCATATGCAGAAAAATCATGAATTCTTACATTTTGGGACAGAAATATAAAAAGTACACTTTCTTAAGAATACCATCAGCACAGGATTACCATACTTATTAAATAGTGGAAATTATTTTCCACTCTGGTTTTTTTCTTTTTAAATTTTAAAACTTTATGTCTTATTTTATTGAGATATAATTGACATACAGCACTGCAGGAGTTTAAGGTATACAACATGATTTAAGTTACACAGATCATGAAACGATTACCACAGAAAGTTTAGTGAACATCCATCATCTCATCTAGACACAACACTAAGGAAAGAGAAAAAAAATTTTTTCTTTATGATGAGAACTCTTAGGATTTACTGTCTTAACTTCCATTAATAACATACAGCAGTATTAATCATCTTTATCATGTCATATATCATATCACTAGTACTTATTTTATAACTGGAAGTTTGACTACCCTCATCTAATTCTACCTTCCCCACCCAACATTTCCACTCACTTTATGGAGTAAAACTGACACACCAACTTCAAATTGTTATACTCCTTCTGGTAGTGAGGACTGGGATGAGCTGTCTACTTCAATGGCTGATCCCACTGCACACCTGCTTGATGAGTGGCTCAGCCAATATATGTAATAAATGAGTTGTAATGAAATAGAGCTGTGTCTAAAACAAACAAATACTAAAAAACAAGAAAACAGACACATAAAACCTGTCCCCACTGATGGAAGACACCAGTGACTATGAACCCTGCCTTATGCAACTAAACTAAGAGATTCAGAAAACAGGTCCTGGAAAAAAAGAGAGCAACAGAACCAGCAAATTCTAAATGCTGTGAATTCGAAATGTTGTATTTTTTACCTGTGGCACGAACTGAATTTAGGATGGTCTCTCGGTATGCCACCTGGAGGGGCCCTAGATAGGTTTCCAGTCCATATTCCCTCTTGATTCGGTCATGAATTATCTCAATATGTAACTCCCCCATGCCACAAAGGATAGTCTGGTTAAAAGAGGAAGAAAACAAAGATCAAGGAAAAAATTAAGTTTATCACAAAATACTAATAAAGGTATATCAATATATTTTATTTTTCAATTCTTACAAAATGAATTTCTTCCGTAATTTTTTTTGGCTCCTACATCAAAACACTGCTTTTAACTTTTCTGATTGAAATAATCAATTAAAAGTGAATCACTAGGCCAATCTCTTATTCTTTGATAGCTGAACTATCAGCTGGGTAAGTGGTATCTAACTAGAACTACACTTCCCAACCACAAAGGTAAGTTCTGGCCAGTGAAATATAAGCATAAATGATGTTGGTAACTTCTGGGTTATGTCTTTAAGGGTAAATAAAGCCCTTCTCTTAATGAAGATATAGACAACCGTCTTGAAATGTGAATGAGGGCAACATCTTGTGAATGGGGGGAATAATCCCTCCCCCAGACACTGCCAACCACATGGCTATTTCCAACCATCCTGGGCACCTTACAGTTTTGTGGGCAGTTGAAACTTCCAAAGTAGCTTGGAACTTTACGTGACAGAGAAACTGACTTTTATCTTCTTTGAACCAATGTTATTTTGGGTCCTTGTTAGAACAGTCAAATTTGCATCAAAACCAATCAAAACATGTTTTTGTTTTTAGAAAGCAACAATGGTTATTCCTGAAGAAGGTCTTTGTGTATGAGAGAATATAGTGCAAGGAATCCACATTTGCCCCATTTTATTCATATACCATCTGTGTAGTGAGGCATTAACTTTACCCTAAAGAGAGATCTGGCCCTTGCCTTCAGCTACTGGGAAGTTATCTCTAGGCCAAGATGCTGCCTGATAGAAGTGTCTTTGCTTGTCTGGGGCCTTTGTCCACCAGATAGTCTTAACAATGTGATTTATGATGCGGCTTTGGAATAGCTGTACCCATTTACAACCTAGAGAGTAAAGATAGTAGCCCAAACCTACAGGAGGCACTAGAGATTAAATGTCAACCACATAGACAGTATGTGATTATGCCCTAATGAAAACTCTGGGCATGGAAGGCCTGGGTGAGCTTCCCTGACTGACGATACTCTATGCCAGGAGGATGAAGAAAAGCCTTGCGTTTAGAACCCTCTCAGACTTTGCCCTAGGTGTCTCTTCCTTTGGCTGGTTCTGATTTGTTTCCTCTCACTATAATAAAACTATAATTGTAAGGAACAACAACAAAAATCTATTTGGTGTATGAGGGCTATACTTTAATATAAAGTTAAAGAAGTAATTATTTGGAAAAAAGCCAGTTGTAGAAAAATACAAATAGAATGACTTCTTATATATCTGTACATATATATTTGGAAACATAAATACTGTGTTTTATAACATTGCACAGCAGAAAAATGGATGTTTGGAAAAGTGTGAAAGGCTATTCACCAAGTTTTCACAGTGATTACCTATGTAGAAAAGGATAGAGAGACTGAAAGGGAGACTTAATTCTTTACTTTGCACACTTGAATGTTATTTGCTATTTAAAAAAAAATATGTACTGGCATTTTTTAAACAAAAAGTTTCTGTTTTAATTGCTGCTGTAGCCTTCAGAATCAATTAAACTAAATTGCTACCTCATTTAGCTGGCATTTCGGAAAATAAAGTACTCCACATTTTTCAGATTAACTAAATCAGTTTATCCTTTTTAAAGGCAAATTTATAATTTTTTAAGGAAATTTTTCTAGAATTTTATATAAACTCTACCCTGCCTCCCTAAAAAGAAGATGCAGAATGACTATGTGTTCTTCTACTGTATTATATAATATACAGCACAGTCCTGTACCTACTTTAGGTCTCTATTTCCTCCCACATTGTTAGGCTGTAATCTATCATTTCTCACCCATTTTAGGTGTGTTATCATCATTAAAAGTATACCTAGGGCTTCCCTGGTGGCGCAGTGGTTGGGAGTCAGCCTGCCGATGCGGGGGATGTGGGTTCATGCCCCAGTCCGGGAGGATCCCGCGTGCCGCGGAGTGGCTCGGCCCATGAGCCATGGCTGCTGGGCCTGCGCGTCCGGAGCCTGTGCTCCGCAGCGGGAGAGGCTGCAGTGGTGAGAGGCCCGCGGACCGAAAAAAAAAAAAAAAAAAGTATACCTATGCATCCTCCCTTTAGAAAGCTGCTTCTATAAGTTTTAGCATAAGAGGCTCAAGGTTTTGTCTTGGGGTTGGACCTTATTTCAGAATTTCACAAAAGGCTGTCTTCTGGAAGGTAGAAATATTGGAAAGTAGTTTATATAAGCAAGGTATAATCATACTGAGGAATTAGGAGAATTTAGCTTGACAGTCAAAATATAATCAGAAATTTATGAGAGAACCAAAAAAGGCTTTTTCTTTCAGGGGCATAGACCAATCAACGTTTTGGATATATGGATTTAAACACTCTCTCTCACACACACAAATGTTTTTATTGAAAGATTCTGGGGATTAAATAATAATATGCATACTTGTCCAGAGTCAGGATCTAGCTTCACTTTCAAACTAGGATCTTCACGCTGAAGGCATTTCAATGCATGATCCAAATCTAGAGGATAAACAATAACTGTTATCTTTACGTTTCATTTTTTTTGATAAGGTACTATACATTCTAGTGGGAAAATAGATGAACAAGCAAATTTTGAAAAAGAAAATTTCAAACAGCCAGAAATGTTCTGTAGAGAATAAAATAAGGTGATGAGATAGTGATGGGAGGTTACTTGAGATTGAGTGACCTGGGAAGACCTGTCCAGGATGATTTAGATAAAGACACAAACCAAAAAGAATGACATCGCAAGTAAAATCCTGAAGAAAAAGAATTCCAGATAGAGGAAATGGCTGTGCAAGGAATGGTTTCTACTGGAGAAACAAGAAGGCTAGTGTAGCTGGATATTGGTGGACAAAAGGAAGAGTAGCATCAGATGAGGCAGGAGATGTGTGACAGGGAGCACACCATGTAAGGTACTGAAGGCCATGGTGAAGAGTTTGGATGTGCACTGGGAAGCCACTGAAGGGTTTAAATGGGACAGTAACATCATCTGATTATGTTCTGCAAAGGTTAAGGAACTGACAAAAAAAGCAAAAAAGACTTTAGAAACACATACAACAATAAGGAACTGGCAAAAGGAAGCTAAATTACATCATGAATAAAGAGATACTAATGTGATCACTCTATGATGAATTATCACACCAAGGAGGAAGTAAGAATACAGCTGACCCTTGCACAACATGGGTCTGATGCGGGTCTGCTTATACGCGGATGCAGAATCGGAGGACCTGTATATAGGGAGGGCTGACTGTAAGTTATACTGGGATTTTCAACTGTGTGGAGGGCTGGGGCCCCAACCCCCTGTTGTTCAAGGGTCAACTGTATGTTATTTGCATTAAATATGCCATCTAAAGTAAAGAGATACTTTGATACAATCAATTAACTGATATGCACATGCTCCCTCTTTAGACCTGCACTGTCCAAATGGTAGCCACAACCCATCTGTACAAGATACTACTAGTCTGAATTAACGTTAGCTTTAAGTGTAAAATTCATACCAGGTTTCAAAGACTTCACGTGGAAAAGAAAAAAGAAAGTAAAGTATCTCAATAACTTTTATATTATGTTGAAATGATAATATTTTGATATACTGAGTTAAGTAAAATACATTACTAAATTAATTTTGCCATTTTAACTTTCTTTAAATGTAGCTATAAGGAAATTTTAAGAAGCGGGATGGAAAGACTGGAGCTTGGATGCCTGATGATGTGTGGAGTCATCCTTGAACCCCTGGGATACCAATTCAAGGTATATTTTACAAGAGAAAGAAGTGAACTTTTGTCATTAAAGCAACTGCTATTTGGGGGTTTTATGCTCTACGTAAGCAAATCTAACAAGAAATGTTATAGCTGGAATCATGAGCTTTACTATATACTATACTAAGGAGTTTGGGTTTCTGCTATAAGTAATGAGAAGCCACTGAAGTATTCTGAGCCATATGCTAAAGAACAAACTATTTATCACTCAGAAAGGTCAAATGACATTAAACATACTATATAAATATCTTCACTGAGTTCTAAAAGTTAAGCCAGAAAACAATGTAAAGTTGATTTTCATAAATGGTGATGGGAAACTGAATCGGTTATGAATTGGTTACCATCTAATTAATACACTGGAAGGGCAGTCTGAGGTCAATTACTTAGAATCCCACAGACAGCACCACAAGAACAAGAATAAGGAAAAATATGGTAAGAGAAAAATGGCAAAGCTGAAGAAAAAAAATGGAGTTTGTAAAAATCAAAACAAATTAAAAAACTAGACCAATCATAAGCAATACCAATAAATGCTCATAAAATTGAACTCAGTGACATAAAAAACCTTTTGAGGTTAAAATGTAACTATTTTATCTAAATTATCAGAGCACTAATTAATTGATGCACCAAGATTATTTGTACCTGGCTGCTTAGCCACTGATGGAGGTTCTATGGTACAGAAGAAAACAGGTTCTGGAATCTCCACCCCAGCCAACAAAAGCCTCTCTGCTTCATTGTTTTGTCTATGCTTCTTTTCTCCCTCCCTTTCCACTCGACGACATGCAGCTAAAGCACTGGACTTGGATGAGACAATGGTGTCACCAGTGGCAGTCTGCAAGCAAAGAAGATGTCTTGGGACAAAACAGGCTATTGGCAAGCACTCAGCTTCCACGAAGGACCACGAAAACCAAAGAAAAATTTTTAAGGTAGCACTTCCTCTTCATCAGAACTTAAAAGAGAGACAAATTCATTAAGCTCATTATAACTCTGCATTGGTAAAGCTAATTTAAGTTGTAGAAGAATTCTGTCCAAAATATTGCTGTAATAAGTTCTAACAATAAAACTTTCATACACACAAAAAATACATTTAAAACTCATTTGGTAAAACAAATTCATCTTTGAACAAGAGACAAAAGAACGAAAGAGACAAAAATCCTTGCCCTTACAGAGCCTTCATTGGCAAAATATCTTCACTTTTTAACCTGATCAGTTATAAAGTTAGATTTAATTGTCTGCAATAATTAAGATAGGAAAAAAAAACAATGAAAATAACATTATTTTACATAAACTTAAAACATAAGTATATATCCATAGTGTGTGTATTTTACTTGGATTTGAACTTTATATGAATACAATCCATTCTCTAATTTACTTTTCTTTCTATTAAATGTTTGAGATTCAACCATGTTGATGAATATACTACAATATTCATTATTCCACTACTGATAGCTTTTGGATTGTCTACGGGCTTCTACTATTACAAAATACCTACTTTTAATTAAACATTTAATCTGTTATTTCCTAGAGAAAAGATTTGATCACTTACGTGTTTAAGCCCAACAGTCAAAGCAATGTTACCAGCAGTCAGTGAAGGGATTTCTACATGCTGGTCAGCAAATGGCAAAAGCAGATGACTTATTCTCTCCCTGTAAAAACATGATTTATATTAGTAAAAGTATATTTAAAGAAATGAGTGAAGTTTTAGAAAATAACCTAGGCTTCTACTTACGTGCAGTTTCCATTAATATTATGGATGGCCAATTGGCGTTTTATCATGCCTGAGTAAATGCGCAAAAATACCAGTGGGCCTCGCTGCTTGTCATGGAGAACTTTAAATGCCAGGGCACATAAGTCACCCTTATACCACTGCCTATAAAATTAAGGAGAAGTTCCAGAAAAGCCACTTTAAAATAGACTTCCTACATATCTATACAGATCAGATCAGAATCACTGCATAAACCTAACCTTGATGTCCTCAAAAGATTCCTCATATCTTCTAGTTTAGCTACCAAGGCCAATTAAATAATGTATTATGTACCTCTCTTCCTCCACCGGACTAAATTATTCATCGGAGATCTTACCATTAATTCCTCAAAACCAAAAACAATGGATTCTCTTCCAAATATTACCTCTGTTAGCAAATAATTCTTGCCTAGATTTCCCTCCTCAAAAAATATACCTAGGAACATCACACCACTTCTTAAAACCCCATACAGGGTAAACAAATAGGTACTTTCCAATTACTGCTTTCACTCTCTCCTCCCACTTTTCTTCAGCTGCATAGCCATATAAATCTACACTATAAACTTGAACTTGTTTACACAGCAAACACTTACAGAATGATGTCCTTAAATTGGAGTTCATTCTTAGGTTTCAGAAAGTTTGAATCCCTCTCAAATTGCCAAACTTTGCACATAGGTAACATTTTTATGAGGAAATATGGAAATACTTTCCATATTTTCATTAGTTTCAAAGGAGTCCATGATTCAAAGTAGGTTAGACACTTCTATTATTGAATTTCTCTAATCTTATTCCTGTTCCCTCCAAATTTTAATTTTATTTAAGAAATCCTTATATAGAGAGTTGATCATATACTAGGCACTGTTTTATGTGCTTTATAAATATTAGCTCATTTGATTCTTGTAACAATCCTATGAGACAAGTCCTATTCTCTGCATCTTACAGATGAGAGGCTAAAGCAACTTGGAAGACCTGAGATTTAAATCCAGGCAGTACACAGTCTATGCTCATCTCACATCACCACAATGCCTCTCCAGTTGAGAGATATGGAAAGTGACTCAGGTCCTAGTTAATAGGATCAAAGTTCACCTCTGTTTGCCATTTGGCACAAAACTCACTCAGATTTTAGAGGATTTATTACAAAGGACAAAGCTGTTAGTGACAAGAGGAATAAAACAATGGACCTTTCCTTAGAGTTACAAAATATTATGAAAAATCTTGAAATCCAGAATAAATATAAATGTATCTACAGAATATTTATCAAACATCCCCAGTATACTTTTTTTTTAAACTAAGATGGCAGAGTCAGCACTTATACTTTTACACAGCAAAAAAGCCATAAATTCTTATTTAGCTCCATCTGTAAACACAGCAGGTTACAAGAGATGATGACAAATATCCCTTTCAAGTAAAAATTACTATGGCTCTATATTATATTATTTAGAATAATATTCTTCACCAATGTTATTCAAAAACTGTGATTCAACTACTCTCTGTGAAACATGACCTGTCTACCTGTCTTTTCAAGGCTATACAATTTTAATCTATGCACTTGCATACTTACAGAAATTCATAGTTGCGTTCTTCAGGTGAAGGCAAGTACATAGTAATAGCATCTAACAAGGGCTGGACCCCTTTGTTTTTCAGGGCACTTCCACAAAGCACAGGCACTGCTGTCTGAGCCAGTGTTACTCTGTGTACTGCAGTTTGTAGCTGTAAAGCAGAGATATAAATGTTTTATGTGTATTCTGGTCTCGACCAAAATATCCCAGAATTAGATGCCTTCCCTAACCAACCATGTAAAATATCACTCCTCAGCACACTTCCATCATTCTTTATGGCCTCATTCTTCTTTATTTTTCATTGTAAATAACATTAATCACTACCTGGTATATTAGATATATATTTATTACTTTATTATCTGTCTTCCCAGTCACTAGAATGTAAAATCTATAAGCATTATAGTAAGTCCTATAAAGATACTGTAAATCACAAGAAACTGGAAAAGTGCTTAAAATAAAGTAGATGCATAAAAACATTTCTTGAATAAGTGAATTAATATACTTGTGATTTAACCTCGATAGTCTACTAGAGGAACTGGTTAGAAATTAGAAATATAAATGAGTTACAATTTCTTCAAATAAATTAAATCCACATTTAATAAAATCCAAAGGAAAATGAGGTATCAAAGTAGAAACAATTTTTAAAAGACCTCAAAAACCAAGAAAAGCTTAGGTGTGCTTGCAAGCTATTGATAAGAGAAACGTGGGTCAATTTAATTTTAGATTGTAAGCTCTTTGAAAACAGAAATCATGTTATGTGACTATAGGGCACAATAAACATCACATTTAAGCATTCGAATACTAAACAAGAAAAAAATTCAAACTTACAGCATTTCATTCAAAAGAAAAGAAATAATTTTTTCCACCTCTGACTTCAAATGGCTCAAAATTAATCTACAGATCTTACGTTTTTCTTTACTTCTTTTCATGAAAAATAACCAAGTGAATTTGCTGGGCTCATCTTGGAGCCCACTTAAAACACTACCACTTAAAAACACTTTTCATGGGGGAAGGTTCCTGGCAGAAAAAATAAAAAACGCCTTGAATAAATCTGTCATAATTCAAATACTACCAGTATTTTACTGGCCTATTCTCTGGTTTAATATATTTCAAAAGAAAACCAAAAAAGGGGAAGACCTGGGATAAGTTTCCACTAACAATTAAAACAGATTCAGAAAAAATGTTCTGAGAAAAATGACCATTAGAGTAGTCCGAAAGACCAGTAGATCAAAAAAAAAAAATTCTATCTGTGATTTCCCTAATACTACTTAGTGAAATGATCACAATGAAGGGAAAAGGCTGCAGTTAATGAACAATGTCTTCTAATTTTTAACAGTGTTCTCCTAATTTTTAAGTCCGCATTTTCTAATGATATGCAAGTTGAAAAAAAAAACCACCTACAATACAGTAATCAAACCACATCCAATTAGTAAAACTTGGTCAAAGTAAGTGAATAATAAAATTTACCTTTTCAGCCGGTAGCAAATCAAAATTCTCACTAAATTCTCCTAAAACCAAGTCAGCAAATTCATCATCCAAATCTGCAACCTATAAAGAAAGGTTTTAGTTCTGTAACTTACATTCATCATCACAACTATTAACTTAAGTCTATACACCATAAATATTCATTACCCAAATATTTCAAGACAGCTACATGATCTAACTTATCCAGACCAAGGAACTCTTCACATCTTCTAAAGAGATAGAGTTTTTCTTTCAAAGGAAAGGAGACTGAAAATTGAAGATACGCTCTCATGAGTTTCCTAAACTCATGGGAAGCCAGAGCCAGACAGAGCACCTCAATAAAGTGTGCTACCTGCTCAGAGTGCTCAAGAGAAATAAAAAGTCCACAGCTGATAGCCAATGATAATATATACAATGAACTGTTGTTTTTAAATAGATTTGGGGGGGGGGTCTTAGTTCATAAAAAAAAGTTTCATTTGGTAATCCTCTAATATTTTGAATGTTCACCAGATCTCCAAGACATTCAAAGTAAAATGACTGAACTTGTTTATAATCCTTCACTGAGGGAATAAATTTAAGTTGAGGGGGTAGTGGTAAAATTTCAATAATAAAAATGTAATTATCTAATTCATGTTCACTTCATAATCATCTGCTTATATGACAGGAGAATTCAACTGACAATAATATTAACAAAAGAGTTTCAAAAGTTTATAATAGTAAAAGGGAGCAAAACATTCAACCTTGGTGAGAAAAACACATTTTTAACAGCTAACTATAGCAGAAATGTACCCAACCATCTTTCCAAAAAGCAGCAAATATGATGGTTAAGCATAGCTTCTGGAATCAAACTGTCTGGAAATGGCTCCACTACTTACAAACTTGTTCAAAAAAACTTTGGTCAAGTTACATCACCTCTCTTTGTCTTGGTTACTCATGTAGATAATACTAGTACTTATCCTATGGTGATACTGGGAAGTTTAAATAACCAATTCCAATTATGCTTCCAGAATATATAGTAAGTATATAATAAGCATTGTTTTCATCGCTGTTCATCTTTAGAACACAGGAAGTTGATTCTAGTCCACACTAATCTTATTCTCTAATTCAAAAAAATTTTAACTTTGATAAAATATAACAAACATAAAAGTACCACCTTAACCATTTCTAAGTGAATAGTTAGGAAGCAGTAAGTATATTCCACACCGTTGTAAAACTAATCTCTAGAACTTTTTCATGTCACAAAACTAAAACTCTATACCCATGAAACAACTCTTCCTCATTCTCCCCTCCCCACAGCTCGTGGTAACTACCATTCTACTTCCTGTCTCTATAAAGTTGAGGACTCTAAATACTTCATATATCTGTAAACTATGAAGTAAAGCAAATGAAAGATAAAACACTGCAATCAAGATAGTGGTGATGGTGGGGTAGATGACTAGTGGAAGGGAGAGAGAAGAGCAGGGAGTAGCACAGGGAGATTCAAGAGTATTGCTAATATTCTATTTCTTAAGTTGGGTGGTGATTACACTGGTGTGCACTGTATTATACTTTACATATTCCATATGTAATTTTAGATGAAATTTCACAATAAATATTTTTTAAAGTTTCTAAATATTTACACAATTTTAAGCTCAAAGTATTTATTTTACTTGTTCAATTAAGGCATTCCTTGCTTCCGTTATCTCCTTCAGCAATTCAGGATCACTCATTTCCAAGAGGGGTTTTCTCTCAAAGTCTTTTCCATCATCTGAATTGGGATTCCAAAGAAGTTTTTCTTTACTTACTACATCCACCACTCCTTTGAAAGTTTTGCCTTCACCAATTGGTAACTATAAGTCAGAGTGAGATTAACATTTTATTAAATGATCATTAGAACTCAATTAGAACTGCACTGGTGATAGAATTTATCTTTCCCCACTCCCCCCCAAATGTCTCTTATCATTACTGCCATAATCTATACCTATTTTTATTTATATCCTAACTTCTTCCAAAAGGATTTGTGAAAGCTTCAAGAATGTATATAATATGCCACAATAAAATACGTTGATGAGGAAACTGAGAAGGATCTGTTCATATTAATAAACCAAATATTAATCAACCAACCTGTAAAAGCAAAGGCTTTGCCTTCAACTTCTCTCTGATGCTTTCAACTGCATAGTTAAAACTGTAGAAAGTACAATCATTTAAAATGTTCAGGTACTTAAAACAGGATTTAAGAATGTACTCTAAAATTATAACCCTAAATTGTTCCTAACGTTTACCATTTAACAGTTTTCCACAGGACAACATCTTGTCTAATCTTTTAACATTAATTTCAGATAATAGTGACTGAGTAAGTATCTACCATAATTCTGCCACACAGGTATTTAGGGTATTATTATTGTGAGCTTCATTTAACTAAAGTTTGAGGTTAAGTGACTTGATCAAGGTCACACATAATAAACTGGAGTTAAGATTCAAATGCAAGATTTGTGATTACAAGTCAAAGATTCTTTCTTCTAACAACTATATTTGTTATCACACGACTACCCACTTTCTTCCAAGAGCCAGCCTAATTTTTCTACACTTTTATCTTAGGCATTGTTCGTATCATATGCTATGCTGTTCATTTCTGTGCTAACACTAGGGTTGGCTACCTATGGAATGCATGACACATCTTTGGCACATGGGCTGATTCATACACACATGCAGATCATTCTGGTCCCAATGTCTTTAAGAAGCAGCCTAGTACCCAGTCATCTCCCTCCCCATCATCACAGGTGCTGTCAGTCAGTATAGGCAGTATTTCCCTCAACCTCAAGGAACTCCAAACAGAAAAGGGTCAGAACCAAAGCCTAGCACATTTTGAAGGTTGCTGTGCTTTTATTAATCAAGACAAAAGTCCTCTAAACCAGCAGCTTTAGAATTACTGTAGAGAGTTACAGAAATACAAAGCATACTGTGTGATATCAGGAGAGACACGGTTTATGTTTTCTTATTGCCACTCTCATACCACAGATCAGGATCTCTCCTTTCCACATTTCCCCAGTATCCTTTGATTCTTAATTCTTGCCCTTTCACATTTTCTCCAAATCCTTCATATAGTCTTGACTGTCTGGATTCTGTTCTCAGAACAGCGTATCCATTTTGGATCACCACTCTGTAAGTCTGCAGTATTACTACAACATCTCAGCATTAACTCTTTTGTCCTATATGCAGGTCTCAAAACATCTACATTCTCCTCTTCTAGTTTCCTTTCATTGAGAGCATTTTACCCATTAGCTAAAGAAATCGGGGACAAGGAAGAACATCATTCTCTGAAGCAACGACAAGAAACAATTCTCTTCCCTCCCCCATTAGCAATGACAGGGAGCACTGTAACATTCAGCAATACATGGACTCGACCATACAGCTCTAAATAGAAGCAATGGATTCAGCAAGACATCAGTCTGTCAGGAGCCTAGAAATCAGGATAAAGCCTCTCTACATTAGAATCAGAATGATTCATCATCTATCAGCTCTCTATTAATCCCACATTGTTACTTTACCTATGAATCAACTGCTCTGAAATTTTTTTTTTTTAAAAATGGGACTGAATTGGGATTCCATGGAATATTTATACCTTATAGGGAACAGCTGTTTATAAATTTAAGTTATAGTGCATTAAAAGCTCAAATCATATTCTTACTTTGATAAGCCAAAGAAACACACGTTAAATACCTTGCTCCAATTTTGTCCATCTTGTTTAAAAAACAGATTCGGGGTATCTTGTGTTTATCAGCTTGCCTCCATACTGTAAGAGTTTGTGCCTAGAGCAAAGATAAGGGAAAAAACCCCATATTTGACAAAAATAACTATGTTACTACACATGGAATAAGCATACCTAAGACTCTATTATAACATAGAATTGGGCCCTATTCTAGCATAGAATTAGCGCCATTGCACACATACCTCTAGACCCACTCTTAAGCTATCAGGTTAAAACAGTTAAGAAAATGATCAAGCATGACTGAAGATTATGCTTCAAACTGAGAATACTTTGGGTGAACTAGGTTGCAACACAAAGGGAATTAACAACTGGGAAGTACTGGAAGTCACAGAAAGAGGACTTAACCAAGAATTACAAGACCTACTTTTTGTTTGGCTTCACCTTACTTAGTAACGTCACACAATACTGAACTCATCAGTTTTCTGATCTGTGAAATATGGACTTTTGCCTTAATTAATTCAGACAGTTGTGATGTAAAAAGAACAAATAGGAATATACTATAAAATGCTACTATGATAAAAATCGTGTATTTTTACTGTGAATGTTTGAACGTTCATATAAACTGAAAAGGATTTAAGGGAGGAAAAGGAAGCCAATACCTGTATTTCTAAGTTACAATTCTCATATGCTTTTCTATTTGGCTTTCTGGTTGTTGTTAAACAAGTAATTTTTAATATTTGGCTTCTTTTAATTCCACTTTCTGTACATGTCAAATATAAACAGTTTGCCTAGTAGAGTCTAACAGCCCTGAAGCAGAGCATTAAAAGCCTAATGTGCTGACACTGTTAAAACAGAAGCCGGTTTGTCATTTGTTTTATTAGGTAAAATTGATATACAATAAAATACAGTTGAGCCTTGAACAATATAGGGATTAGGGGCGCCAACCTCTGCAAAGTCAAAAACCACTTATAGGGCTTCCCTGGTGGCGCAGTGGTTAAGAACCCACCTGCCAATGCAGTGGACACGGGTTCGAGCCCTAGTCCGGGAAGATCCCACATGCTGTGGAGCAAATAAGCCTGGGCACCACAACTACTGAGCCTGCGCTCTAGAGCCTGTGAGCCACAACTACTGAGCCTGCATGGCACACCTACCAAAGCCCGTGTGCCTAGAGCCCGTGCTCTGCAAGGAGAAGCCACCACAATGAGAAGCCCACGCACTGCAATGAAGAGTAGCCCCCGCTCACTGCAACTAGAGAAAGCCTGCGCACAGCAATGAAGACTCAACGAAGCCAAAGATAAATAATTTTAAAAAAACCACTTATAACTTTACAGTTGGCCCTCCCTATGTGCTATTCCACAACTGTGGATTCAACCAACCATGGATTATATAGTTCTGAAGCCCGTATTTAGTGGAAAAAATCCACATATAAGTGAACCCATGAAGTTTAAACCCATGTTGTTCGAGGGTCAATACAGATTTTCAGTTTATAGTTCAATGAATTTTAATAAATGCATATACTTGTATAACTATTACCTCAATAAAGAGAAAGAACATATAGAACATTAGAGATTTTTATGTCCCTCCCCCCATAGCAACCTGTTCTGATTTCTGCCACCATAGATTCATTCTGCCTATTATTGAACCTCATATAAATAGCATAGCTTCTTTCACCCAACATAATGTTTTTGACATTCATTCATGTTGTTGGGCACACTGGTTCAGTTTTACTGCTAAATTCCTTTGTATAAATGTACCAGTTTTTCTATCCACATGTGGATGTGCACTTGTGTTGTTTCTAATTTGGGACTATTATGAATTTAGCTGCTATAAACATTCTGAACAAATCTTTGGTGAACAAATGTTTTCACTCCCTTGGATAAAGATGGAGGAGTAGAACTGCTGGGTTATAGGACAAGTGTATATTTACCTTTATAAGAAACTGCCAAATAGTCTTCCAAAATGGTTATAGTATTTTACAGTCCCACCAACAATGTATAAGAGTTCCAGTTACTCCACATCCTCAACCACGATTTGCTATCATTCTTTTTAATTGTAGCCATTCTTGTGGGTATGAAATGGTCTCTTCACAATTTTAATTTGCATTTCCCTAATGACCAATGAGACTGAGCATCTTTTCATGTGCTCGCTGGTCATTCCCATGTCTTCTTTGGTGAAGTACCCATTCAAGTCCGTTGTCTTTTTTTTTAATTGGGTTGTTAGTTTTTATTATTGATATGCAGTTCTTCATATATTCTGGATACAAGTCTTTGGTCATACATATGTACTGTGAAAATTTCAGCACATACTCCCTAAGACAATAATATTCTCTACATAATCAACTGTTACTGCACTCTGGAAGTTTAACATTCATATAATATTTTATCTAACATTATAAATTTTCTCACAGTCTAAGGTTTGCCTTTTTTTAAGTTTCAAGCACATAATTTTGAAGAGGTCCAATTAATCAACTTGTTTTTGTTTTATGCTTCTTGTGTCTTCTCCAAGAAATTGTTACCTACCACCCCCTCCACCCACGCCAAAGTTGTTAAGATAATACTTTATTTTCCCTCTAGAAGGTATATGGATTTAGCTGAACACTATGATCCACTCCAAACTAATTTTTATGTGGGGGTGGGGGGATATATACTATAAATTTCCCAAGAACTAAACATATTAAAAAATAAAACAATTCTCATCACCCCACCTGCCAGCTAAAAGTCCATCTACTGTTTTAGCAAACAATAGTCTCCTGTATCACAAATTCAGAAACTTCCTATTACAACATATTTCAATCTTGTAAATAATGCAATCTGAATGATTAAGTGTCAAATTTATGTAAAGAAGTTATAATGACAGGAAGGATGCAACCATTAGGAAATGAAATGGCTCAAAGAAATAGAAATAATAGGTGTATAATCAACCTCAGACATCAGTGTAAGGCTATATATCAAGCAAATATTATCATTGTCTGTCAGGGGTCCTCAGGTGGGGCTTTCAATAACTGTATTATTTCCCCTCGAACTAGTACAATAAGTATCCACATAGTCTTCACCTAGATTCACCAAATATTAACATGTTACACTTGCCTTTTTTCTCTCTCTATAAAACATTATGTGTCTGGTGGCTGGGAAAATGTGCCACTTGGAACTACTATAAAGAGCATGATTAACTGATGGTTCCAACTGTTACCCTTCTAGATCTACCACCATGTATTCTCAAGGCGCACCTTCTTGGGAGCTGTTTCCAGCTAATGACTGAGCTCAGCAGAAGGACTAATGGAGGCCCATTCCCACAAGACATGGGTTCCTCTAACAGGTAACATTAGCTTGAGGACTCCCCATGAGCGAAGCCAAACCCTTTTGGAACTGTACTATAGCCTGAGACTCTTCCTGCCTAATCCCCCATCCTTCCCCCTCTCCTTCACAGGGGTCAGCCTGCCCTGTGGTCTGAATGCCCTCTCCCACTTCCCTCTTTTCTCCCTTATTCTTCGCAGGTATTTCCCCCCCATGAATCTCCTATACATCTAATCCCATCTTGGCATCTACTGATCAAAGTACCCAAACTAACACCATGTGTGTATGTGTGGGTGGACGGGAGCTGAACCATGAGAGCAAGTTGCAGACACCATCAGACTTTAATCCTAAATACTTCAGCATGCATTTCCTAAGAATAAGGACATTTTCCTACATAATCAATTACAAAGACCACATTCAGGAAAACTTAAATTGACACAATACTTTAATATATATATATCACATATTCAAATTTGTGATTTTCCCAGTGATGTCCTTTGTAAATTTTTCTTTTTGATCCAGGATTCAGTCAAAAAGGATATATTACATTTAGCTTTCTTGTCTCTTTAGAATCCTTTAATCTAGAACAATTCCACAGCTTCCCCCCAACCCCAACTGTTCATTTTCCTTATGTTAAAACATTTTTTTTGAATTTCTGAAAAGTCTTGGCCAGTTGTTTTGCAGAATGTCTTTCAATTTAGATTTGTTTGTTTTCTCATGATTTGGGCCAAACATTTTTGCCAGGAATACAACATAGGTAATGTTGTATCCTTCTTAGTGCATCATATCAGGAGGCCCATGGTGTCAATTTGTCCCATTTGGGGGGATATTGATTTTGATCCCTTAATTAAGGTATCGCTTTTAGTAATTTTAAGATTAGAAGAACTAATGTGGGTTCTATATTCAAGATAAAGCCAATCTTGAGATTATAAAACAAATGGAATACCAGCTAAAGAGAGCATAACTGACCCCAGTAGCAACAATTTTATTATAAACCCACTTTCAGGATTTATTCAAGGAGTTATATATTAAGTTTTGGGAGAAAATCCTTCATGGGTCGCTCACATTTCTGCATGTTTTGTCAGGAGAGGCACTGACTGCCTTTATTCTGGACTATCTTTTCAAAAATGTTTGTATAGCGAACAGTTTAGAAAGATATTGTATCTCCCTTCAGAGCAAAAGGTAGGTTGGCTTACAACCCTGGAAGATAATGTATCCCTTCAGAGCAAAGAGCAGGCACTTTTACTGCCCATTATAAAATACTTGCATTCTCTAAGCACAGGGTTCCACTGCAGCTGTCACCTGACTTCCCTTTGTCACCCTATGGGAATTAGGGCTTGAGGAACCAACACAAGGAAATGCTGATACTCTGGATATTGCTATTTTGGTGATTAATAAAGTCCTTCATCCCTGACTCAGAAATCTTGTGTCTTCTGCCAGAATCCATACTATGGCAGACGAACTTGTTAGCTTTAAAGTAAGAATCTCAGCCTCTTCACAGTTCTCAAAACTTTCATATTTCCTACAGAAAAGCAAACTTTACTTTCCCTTTTACTATGAAGTATATTATATGAGATCATATATAGATCATATCTCAATATTCAATTCCAAATTCCTTTAACCATAATTGGATTTATATGAGCTTACCAAATAAAGGGTTATAGTTAAATCAATCTGATGCATTCTACTTTTTAAAAAATCATGCTGTTCTATCTTCACTTTACTTTGACAATATTTTTTACCTCTACACCAGCAGAGGCATCAAACACAGCCACTGCACCATCTAACACTCTTAGGCAGCGCTCAACTTCCAAGGTAAAGTCCACATGACCTAAGAAAAGGATGAGAAATGTAACACCTAAAATCTTTAAACCATCACCACCACCACCACCACCACCACCACCACCACCACCACCACCACCACCACCACCACGTGATCCAGCAATCCCAGTTTGGGTACATACCCAGAATAATTGAAAGGATAATCGCAAAGAGATATTTACACCCCCATGTTCAGAACAGCACTATTCACAATAGCCAAGAGGCAGAAGCAACCCAAATATCCATCAATGGATGAATGGTGTGTGTGTGTGTGTGTATAAAATTTTGTATATATACAAAATGTGTTACTTATGGGCAATGGAATACTACGCAGCCTTAAAAAGGAAGGATATCCTGTCACAGGCTACAACATGGATGAACCCTGAAAAATTTTGCTAAGTGAAATAAGCCAGTCACAAAAGGACAAATAGAGTACGATTCTACTCATAAGAGGTATCTGAAGTAGTCAATCTCATAGATCTACAAAGTAGAATGGTGGTTACCAGGATTCAGGGGAGAGGACAAAGAAGAAAAGTCGTTTTATGGGTATAGAGTTTCAGTTCAACAAAATGAAAAAGTTCTGGAGATCTATTTCACAATAATGTGAACATACTTAACACTACTGAACTGTACACTTAAAAATGGTTAAGACAGTAAATTTTATGATATATTTTTTACCACAATTAAAAAAAACCCACACATACACAAACAGAAAAGCCTCAAAATAATGCAGCACCTCTGCATTGCTGAAACAGCACTATACCTGGTGTATCAATTAGATTGATTCTATACCCCTTCCAATCGAATGTAACAGCAGCTGACTGAATAGTTATGCCTCGTTCTCGCTCTTGAGCCATGAAATCTGTCACCGTGTCTCCGTCATCAACATCTAACCAGGAAAAAAATGACATAGTTAGGCTTAAAAGTATATTTTATAGGTCTTTGATATCTACCTGACATAGTTTAAGAAAAACTGTTCATAAAATATTTGGTTTAATATTTAGAGCCCCTAATCATTCTCTAAATAAATCGTCATTCTAGAAAAAGATTTTTCAGATGAGTAATTTTTCCATAAAAATAATTTTTCTGTAATAACTAAGATTAAACTCTTTTAATATTTTAATTTTACTGAACCATATACTTCTTCCATTTTTTTTCTAGTTTAACTTTCATTATCCCATCCTTATCTGACGTTCCTCACACCTGATCCCTTGACAGGAGGCAGAGTAATGCCCTAAGAGCAGACAGACCAAATTTAAATCCCAACTTTATCAATTCTCTACAATCTTGAGCAAGTTACTTAACCTAGTTTTTAAAATATGGCTAATAAAGCCAACCTTGCTGGATTGTTATAAGAATGAAATTAGACTATATATTTAAAGTACCTAGCTCAGTAAATGGTAGCTACATGGAATAAGGTAGAGACAAAATTCCTCCAAAGTTAAATCATCTTTTACAAACCTTTCTCATTACTAAATTTTCCTTTTAGGATTTATTTATACAAACATAAAATCTTCTATAGTATAAAGTCATGGATAAAATTTATCCTGACTACCAAAAAGGTCACTCAAATTACTCTGCAGGGCTTCCCTGGTGGCGCAGTGGTTGAGAGTCCGCCTGCCGATACAAGAGACACGGGTTCGTGCCCCGGTCTGGGAAGATACCACATGCCGCGGAGCGGCTGGGCCCGTGAGCCATGGCCGCTGAGCCTGTGCTCCGCAACGCGAGAGGCCACAACAGTGAGAGGCCTGTGTACCGCAAAAAAAAAAATAAATAAATACTCTGCAGTAATATACGTGAATTATGCATTTTACTCTTACTCTTATTCAGTAAAAGCAATGACAAAGAGCTGATCTTTACCAATCAAAATTCAAGTTATCATGGCCTTATACTACCACTGCTTATGTCAGCATTAAACCTCTAAAATGCTAACTAGTTACTCCATATCATTTTTGTGTGTGTATACGTGTGTATAAATATACATACACACACAAATGTACCAACAGAGGGGAAAACAGCAAGAAAAATGTATCTGTTAGCAACTCCAAATATCAATGTTAAAGAATTGTAGCAGTATTGCCAGTTATTCACAATATAACTAACTGAGAAAACAAGCATGATTAAGAAGACAAAGACCAAATAACTAACCAGAGGTTCTAAATAAGGCAGTAAGTTTCTAAGACACTCAAAAAATAAAAATTTGCACCAAGATAAAGATCTTTATTTCCTATTATTATTATTTTTAAATATAAATTATTTATTTATTTATTGGCTGTGTTGGGTCTTCGTAGCTGCGCGTGGGCTTTCTCTAGTTGCAGTGAGCGGGGGCTACTCTTCGTTGTGGTGCACAGGCTTCTCATTGCAGTGGCTTCTCTTTGTTGTGGAGAACGGGCTCTGGTCATGCAGGCTCAGTAGTTGTGGCTTGCGGGCTCTAGAGCACAGGCTCAGTTGTTGCAGCATACAGGCTTAGTTCCCCCCGGCATGTGGGATCTTCCCGGACCACGAACCCATGTTCCCTGCATTGGCAGGCAGATTCCCAACCACTGTGCCACCAGGGAAGTCCTCCTATTATTTCTTTATGATTACACATATGGCTAATAAAATCAACCTTGGATCAACAAATTCTGCCACAATTTGGATAGTTTCTAGGCCTCTGGCCTGAACCAGAAAAGAACCTCAAAACATATCTTGTGTGTGTGTGTGTGTGTGTGTGTGTGTGTGTGTGTGTGTGTGTATACATGTGTGTATATATATGTATCTTATATATATATATATATGTATATTCCTAGAGTAGTCAGATTCATAGAAAAATAAAGTATAAGGGTGGTTTCCAGGGGCTGCGCAGAGGGGGCAATGGGGAGTTGTTGTTCGATGGGCATATAGTTTGGGCTTTGCAAGATGAAAAAGTTCTATAGAATAGTTGCAAACAATGTGAATATACTCAACACTATTGAACTGTACACTCAGAAACGGTTAAGATGGTAAATTTTATGTTATGTGTTTTTTTACCACAATTAAAAAATAACTGTTTACTTGAAAATTGCCTGCGTCCACCTCATCTGGACCCTCGACTCAAGGATACACTCAGGGGGGCTTCCCTGGTGGCACAGTGGTTGAGAGTCCGCCTGCCGATGCAGGGGACGCGGGTTCATGCCCTGGTCCGGGAAGATCCCACATGCCGTGGAGGGGCTGGGCCCGTGCGCCATGGCCGCTGAGCCTGCGCGTCCGGAGCCTGTGCTCCGTAGCGGGAGAGGCCACAACAGTGAGAGGCCCGCGTACCGCAAGAAATAAAAATAAAAAAAAATAAAAATAAAAAAAAATAAAAAGGATACACTCAGGGAATATGAGGGAAGGATTCTAATAAGATTTGTGATACAAAAGAGGAAGCCAAACAATGTTCAGTGTTTTGCTGTCTGTTATTTCCCCATTTACAGAGCAATAAATTCTACGAGAAATTCATGTGCTTATACATTTAGGAACCTATCATCATGAAGATTCTAATAGTGAGTGGTTTTCTCCTTTATTAAACATTAAGTCTCAGCCAATTCCAAGGGTCTAGAGAAATAGGTCTCAATACAGCGCATTTCAAAATCACTGCGGAGCTTTTGAAAAAGACATTAATTTCTACTTCTGGTATTATGGACCTGATGACCTCCATGTCACATTTCAAAACAAACTGTTTCACCAGAGATAAAGAAAGGCACTTCATAATGATAAAAGGGTTGATTCATCAGAGAAATATAACAATCATAAGTGTGTGTGAGCCAAATACAAGTTTCAAAATACGTGATGCAAAAATACAGACATCCAGGCCATACCCAGACATGCTGAATCTTAATTTTCAGAGTGGAGATAGGGCACTGTTATTTAAAAACAAAACAAAACAAAACAAAATCTTTAAAAGATACATGGGCATTAAATGTGCATGCCTGGTCAAGAATCACAGTTTTGGAACTTCCCTGGTGGTGCAGTGGTTAAGACTCCATGCTCCCAATGCAGGGGGCCCGGGTTCAAACCCCGGTCAGGGAACTAGATCCCACATGCATGCTGCAACTAAGAGTTTGCATGCCACACCTAAAGGAGCCGGTGAGCCGCAACTAAGGAGCCCTCAAGCTTCAACTAAGGAGCCCGCCTACCGCAACTAAGACCCAGCACAACCAAATAAATAATAAAATTAAAAAAAAAAAAGAACCACACTTTTTGACATACTATAATAAAAAAGTAAATTCAAAACTTAGGTAAATTATACTACTACTAGGGGTTAAGGATTAACGAAATCCTTTCTTGTTCTGCATGGGAATTTGACCTCTGGTTAACTTTCTGGCTCTCTTCTCCTAGAGCCCAGAAAACAAGTATGCCAACTGCATTGCTAGGCAACACACTTACGGGAAAAATAATTTCTGACTGGTAAACTACATCTGATCTGGGAAGAATAAATAATGAATTATAAATACCTGCTGAAGATACATAGCTTTAGGCTTCCCTGAGTGGGGTATGGCATGCCCCTTGTGGGAAACCAGGAAGATGACCCACGGAGCTGTAACAAGAGATGCTCGTTCCTACGGGGCATGAGTCTTCTAAGCTAGGGTGGCTGCTGTGAATCTTGTTACCTTGCAACTAAGCTATCGCTTTTGGGTGGCCAAAGAAGACAGTTCCCACATAGCTATGTGGACTGCTATAAGAACTTCTACAGAAAGAAACATCTATTGCTGGTAAGCTATGTGTCCTGTCTCACAGCCTTCTGAGTAGACCAGTGCCAACTATAGCCCAAGATAGTCTTGTAAGTCTGACTGTTTAATTGAACCTAAAAAGACCCTTTGGTGAGTACTGTAACTACCTTAACTTTATGCTGTGGTTTAGACAGCAGTGCCTCCATGCCATACTCAAGGTCTCTAGGTTGACTTCTTAATCAAAATATTTTCCATTGATGTTTTTTCTAATGGGGGGGGCAGGGTGAGAGGAGGAATCCATTCTAACCTCCCAGTGATCTTGTGTATCCAGAATAATACAATATTCTTTCTGTGGTGGTAGTTTTTCCCGCATCAATATGAGCCATAATTCCAATATTACGGATTCTGTTTAAAAGGGGAAAAATAAAAGAAAGACGTGTATTATAAGGTGGACATTACTAAAACTGTAAAACCAAAATATCTATGCTGCACAAATTTCAAAGCTGGTTGGTATTTCAACAATTTATATAATGGTGTAAAAACTAGGAAAATGGAAAACATATCACTATCACATTACTCTGACAAAACAGCTAAGTAACAAAAGAGCTAACTACAATTTTGTGACTATCTTATATTTATTTCTATGAAAAGTGTGCTGTTGCTACATTAAAAATTTTTAGCATTGAATTGAGACGAAAATAGCTTTTAAGATACATACCAATATCTATTTATAGTTAATCAGCTAGGGCAGGAAGTTACAGAAATTAGAGCATTCACTAAATGCTGAATTAAGCCTGTGTGAAAAACCTGTAACTTTTCATGGCAGCCTATGGAAAAGACAATATCAATGACAGTACTTACTTAGCAACAGGAGGACTGATGATGGAATGAAGGGACTTGATATCATTTCCTATTAAAC